AATTGTATTTTTTTTATTGTTGTGAGCCACCCAGGGTCATTGGGAATTGGGTGGTATATCAATTTTGTAAATTATTACTAATATTAAGTCCTCCTGTAGGGCTGTGTCAGAGGTAGTAACAAAGATTAATAGACTGTTGGACAGACAGTTTTTAGAGACATCTGGAGAAATTGTCAGTTCATTTTGCCTAACTCAAAACTTGACCTAAGTATTTATAGGTATGTATAATACAGAGCTGGCACTTTTTCTTTATAAGGTTCATCTGTTTGAATTCTGCATGTTGTGAACTATTTATGGATTGTTTGTTACAAGCAGAAATTGTAATTCTAAACTACTGAGCCCATAGTCAACAGATTTGGAAAATAATCCCACTTCTAATTTCATCAATTTGTTCACTGTGACTAGCACAGTAGAATTGATTGGCTTTATGTTCTTTCCTTTGTTTAGCTTGATTACATTTTATCTCCTTGTATTACTGTATCAATTATTCCAAACATTTGGAATCATTTCTCATTAGGGCTGCAGCCTTAGGAGAAGGTGTAGAAGCAGCATGCATATTTCTAAGTCACATTGCTTGAGGCTGAATCCTGCATTCATTAAACAACATATTACATGGTCAGTTTTTCCAAGTAGTAGATTTTACTACAAGTGTATAAAATCATAGAAAATCTTTCTGCTATATTGTTTTGAATAATATAGTTTAGTTGAACTGTCCAAATACCTTGATGTACCAAAGCCCTGTAGGATTATAGAAGCCAAGGCTATGTTTTCTTTGGCTTTCCAGTATAGCAATGATTTTTATTATATAAGGGAGACTAAAGATGCAGTCTCTCTGACAAGAACATTTCTCTATCTCTAATTTGAACAAAGTTGCTTCCATTTAACGAGTGACCTATTTAAGACTGCACATTATGTTTATCTTCTCCTGCGTATCCCTCTTTAAACTTTAAAATATTTTATTTTAGAATGTTTGGGTGCAATTCTATATGAAATTTTAATATACACCCAGATTGGAATGAAGAAGAATTGTGCAAAAGGATAATCATATGATTCTAGTTTATTTCAAGAGTCCTATACTAAAAGCCATGCTGGTGGTTTATTTCCCACTTGTTAAAGAACAATGTGAAGGCATCCTTAGACATTAGCATCTTTTAAGGATACTGGTCAATTTTATATGAAATTGTGAGCAGTGTCATCGTGAAAAAAAGGATAATGAGGCAAACAGATTTGTGGAAACGTTTATTATATTCAGCATGGAATTTCTACTCCAATATTGCGGTGTTGTGATCTGATGAAACAGCAATTTAATTTTAACTGTCAAGTCTACAAAAGGAATTGAGTTCAGTCAGTTCTCTAAGATGCAATGATTTGGAATAAAAAATGCAAGGATGTGTGCCTGATCTCTTTGTATGTGGGAAGGCTTTTTTCCTCAGTTATGTTTATGCAACCAAGTTTTACAATTCAATTAATTGTCATGAGATAATGAAGTAGTAGCTTACTGAAGCAACAGGCCTGGTGCTGTGAGGGCATGAAATAAATATATTTTCCTTGCTTGCAGTGGGAAGATATCTACGTATTTAAATGCATCTATGTGGAGATCTATGTGGCAAGCTTTGTGTGAGATTCTAATGACTTTAAGCCAGGGGTGGGATTCAAATTTCTTAACGACCAATTCTGTGGGTGTAGCCTAATTTGTGGGTGTGGCTTGGTGGTCATGTGACCGGATGGACGTGGCTTGCTGACTGGGCATGGCTTGGTGGTCATGTGACTGGGTGGGCATGGCTTGTATGTAAATATTATAAATATTTATATAAATATTGCTTTTTTTTAGTAAAGAGCAACTTTTACCCAAAAGCAGGCAAAGCAGGAGGCAGATTGAGTTGCTCAAAGAATCACAGATTATATTAGAGATCTATCTATCTGCAATCAGCTATCTGAGTCTGTCACATAAAATTTGCTTGCAAGCAAACTCATAAAATTTGCTAGCAAGCAAACACACAAAATTAACTCACAACACACCATGTAAATATTGAATTTTTTACAAAAAAAAAAGAACAACTTTTACCCCAAAGCAGGCAGGCAGATTGAGTTGCTTAGAGATCTATCTATCTGCAATCGGCTACTTGAGTCTGCACTGAAAAGCTTCAGTCCTAAGGAAGGTTCGGCTCTGCTTTTAGATTAGCTAGAAAGCAAGAAATCCAAGGATTTCCTGCTTTCTAGCTAATCTAAATGTCCTGGCAGAGCAGAACACAGCTAATGGTGTGTGTGTGGGGGGGGGGGGGGGGGAGAAATAGCAACTTACCAAACCAGGCAAGTTGGATGGCTCGCTTGCCAGGTAAGGAGTGAGTGGGCGGGGAGGGCCAGGGCCAGCCAGTGGAGCGATTTGCCAGTTCTCCGAACTGGGGACAATGGTGTGTGCAGCATTTGGAAGAAATCATCAGCTGTGCTGCCTGGACAGCAAAGAAGCGCTGTGCTCCCGTGTGCAGCGTTTGAAAATCCTCTTGTTTCCTGCTTTTTCAACCTCCGCTGTGCCGTGCAAAGCAGCTGAGGAGGGAAAAGCAGGGGATAAAGGACAGCCTAGAGCCCGGGCAGGCGGGTGGGCCAAACACCGAACTGGTTCGGTGTCAGCTACTCTTCGCAGCTACAGGTTCTATAGAACTGGGCCAAACCGGTAGCATCCCACCCCTGCTTTAAGCCTTGTCATAGCAATTATTCTAGTAAGCAGACTTTCCCTGTGAAACTGCTTCTGTGCAATTGTCTCTACCTCTTGATGCATTTTATGTAACCCTATAACAACACCTGAGTCATGCTAAAGTTATAGCCAGCATTAAGTTATTTATTTTGATTGTTTTGCTGTGGAGATGGAGGAGGTAGGAGAGTGAGAAGCAGCAGCCAAGGCAGAAATCAACTAAAGCCAAGCATCTTAATAACTGCATGAAGCTGAATCCTACTAAAGCAAAAATGTCCCATAGTTAAATAAAACTGAACAAAGTTGAATAAAAATTGCTAGGAGGAAACATTACCTGAAGAATTACCTTTCAACAATGGATGCACATAATATAAATATTTTGTGTCTGTCACAGAACGCATAACAGTACTAAATCCGAGTGAATAAGAGATGCTTTTTCTTTTTTTGAAGTAAATATAAGGTGTCACATTCTTCCTTTCTGACATGACAAGTTAAAGGTGGGAGGGGCTAGACATTTATGGATTGGTTTTCTATTGAAAGAAAACAATCTGGGCATAGGTTAGCTTCAAAATATTTGTATAATCTACAGCAAGGGTGTCCAACCTTTCACCTTCCCTGGGCCACATTAGAAGATGAAAATTTGGTTTGGGCCGCACATAAAATAAAATAACAGTAACGATACCTGATCATCCAAAAAAACCATAGAAAACATAGTTAACATATTAAACTTACTTGGAAATGAAGTTAGTGAGATGTTTGACATTGTTTCTTAGCCACCAATGCATCCATATTTGCTTCGATGGAACTTGTTGCAATTCTCAGTGAGTGCTCAAGGTGCTCATCAGATATTTTGGTTCTAGTTTTATTCTTTGTGTGCTTCATCCTTGAAAATAGCTGCTCACAAATGTAGGTGCTTCCAAATAGCGATGACATGAATAAGGCATGATTGTGAAGTGAAGGATATTTTTCTCTGGGAACATATATCTTATAGAAGTCCATTAAAGAGACATGGTCAAATTTTTCTTTCAGTTGAATGTCAGATTGGAGCTCTATGCATTCCATTTGCAAATTGGCAGGTAATATATTAATGTCCACTGAAAATGGAGTTGCAAATATCAGAAAAGATGGCTGATTTTTTCTAAAATCTTGAAACCTGTTCTGAAATTCCTGTACCAAATTGAAAAGCAAGGCTGCATATTTTTCCGTGTTCACAGAGGCGTATTTAGCCAATGTGCTAAAATGCATCAAATTTTTTGCCTTCATTTGAGAATGCCATAGTTTCAGTTTCATTTCGAATGCTGTTTCAGTTTGAAACATTGTGCTGATCAATTGGTTTTCACCTTGAAGACGCATGTTTAACTCATTTAAATGAGCGGTCAAGTCGACTAAAAATGCCAAATCTGTGAGCCAGTTTTCATCGTCAAGTTCTGGCACACATTTTGTTTTAGATTCCATAAATGACTTGATTTCATTTCTCAGATCATAAAATCTTGCCAGCATTTTCCCTCGACTTAACCATCTTTCTTCAGAAAAGTAAATGATGTCCCCATACTCAGCATCCATAAATTTAAGGAATTCCTGGAATTGGCGATGATTCAATCCCTTGGACCTTATGAAATTTACAGCCTTGATGACAATCTGCATGACGTTAGCCATCTTTAAAGCTTTTGCACATACATTTTCTTGGTGTACTATGCAGTGATATTTAATCATACTGAAATTTTGGGAGGCAATTGCATCATCTTCTATCAATTTTACAAGTCCATCTCTGTTACCTATCATTGCAGGGGCACCATCAGTAGCTATGCCAGATATGTTAGCAAATGACAAAGAAAATCGCTGTAATGTATTTTTCACAGCTTCATATAAATCTCTTGCTTTAGTTGTGTCTTTCAGTGGAACTGAAGCAGCCATTTCTTCAGTGATATTATATTTGTCATCAATGCCTCTAATAAAAATTGCCAATTGAGCTGTATCTGTAGCATCTGTACTTTCGTCTATCGCCATAGCATAAAATTTAAAATGAGCAGCTCTACTCTTCACAACTTTTGTTGAGATGATAGATTTTTTTTCAGTTCAGCGATTTTGTCTTTACGACACATTCCTTCATACACAGCAAATTTCTCAGCATGTCTTGTCATGTAATGCCTTTTCAAATTGTAGTCTTTGAAAACTGGCACTAATTCTTTGCAAATTAAGCAGATTGCCTTACTATTGGACTCAACAAAAAAGTATTCATCTGTCCACTTTTCTTGGAACACTCTTCCTTCATCTATAATTTTTCTTTTTTTGTGTTTGTTTTTATTTTTTGACATTTCAGAAGCCATGCTGGAATGTAAAAAAAAGGACTTTTAGAAAGCTTGGTTTAATAATCAATGTGATTACTATGTGCATTATGCTACAGATTTCCCTTTCAAATTAATGGGAAGTGGAATGCAATTGGATTTTGATGCAGAATTCCACAGCCAATTTTGTGTCAAAATCCGTTGTGTGAACCCAGCCTTAGTCTCCTGACTACCAGAAAGTGGCTTACCTGGAGTTAGGATGCTGGAATGAAGTCTGTCTGCTTTAATGGATGCTGGTATGAGGACTGTCTGGTTTTATGGATGCTGGTATGAGGCCTGAAGTAATGGATGCCTGGAGGGAGAGAAGATCTTGGTTAAATATGGAGCTATGTGGGTGGAGAATGACAGGAGACTACCAGAAAGTGGCTTACCTGAGAGTTCGGATGCTGGGATGAGGACTGTCTGCCTTTATGGATGCTGCAGTGAGGACTGCTGTTAAGGATGCTGCCTCTTGTTGTGCGTAGATGTGTGCCTGGTATGATAATGTACAAGGTAAGACAGTAATGGGGTATAAGGGCCACAACATTGCAGAGGAGACAGAGGAGGAACAGGGCTGCGGACATTGTATACTGGGAATAATAAATCCTGCGGACATTGTATACTGGGAATAATAAATCCTGCAGAGAGATGGCGGCCTACGCAGCAGTTAAAAGCCGCTATCAATCACGGCAAAAATGAGCTAATTTATTGCAGGTCGGAGCCCACCGGGTTTTTCATTAGGTCCCCGGTGGGCCAGTCCGACCCTGCACAACAGTGGGGGAGCGCTGCGCGACAGTGATGGCCGCAGCGCAATACAGTTCAACCGGCTCATCTACACTCCGCACAGGCTGCAAGATGTGGCCTGTCGGAGCTTCTAAAATAGACGGGGGTGCAGGTGAAGCTGGCGCGCTGGTGTCACTTTTGTGACGCGCTCACCCATACTCAGCACAGGCCGCAAGATGTGGCCTCTCGGAGCTAATATAATGGATGGGGCGGGTGAAGCGCGCTGGCGCGCTGGCGTCACCGTTGTGATGTGCCCCGGCCGCATTCCGGCCGCAAGCGCCGGCAGTGTAACTTGAAACATTGGAATTTCTTAAAAAATAAAAAAATTGCACTGGGCCGCATTACGAGCCGACCTGGGCCACATGTGGCCCGCAGGCCGCGGGTTGGACAAGCCTGATCTACAGGGTGCAAGAAACTCCAAATTATTCTGAGTTGATATGGAAATGTTATTCTTCCTTTTAAGGCTGCAACAGGTCAGGAGTGGCTAGCAGCTCTTGTCCTAGCTGCTTGGGCTGAGTCTGTCTAAAAAGGCTGATTAGCCTAGCTCCGCCCACTCTGGGTGGCCCTTCCCAGCTTTTGACTCAGTCCTCAGCCAGGACGGACGCAAGTCACTGCCTCTCCAGCCTTTGTATTTTTCAAAGGCAGCCTTACTTGTTTTCAGTACAGAAAAGAAAAAGAAAAAAAAGCCTCAAAATTCAAAAACACGCAGCTCCAACTCTCAGCTGTTTTTCGGAGCTGGCTGAGAGCTGCTCTGGCAGTCCAGAGCAGCCGGCAAGGGCCGCGGGGCTGTTTTCAGGCCTCCACGGTGAAGAGGAAGCCACAAAGACCGGGTGGCCATTTCAGCCCACACTGTCCTGAGCCACGGGGCCATTGCCGAGCCTCCGTGGCGAAGAGGGAAGCTGCTATTCGAGCGGCCACCTGAGGAGCTGCCTCTGCCTTCCAGGGAGCAGCGAAAGGCTGAGGATGCTGTTTTTGAGCTCCTTGGCGAAGGGCCTCCAGAGCAGTAAAATCCCGCAGCGCAGCTCCATGTGCTTCAAGTAGTAAACAGAGAAAGCAGCCATTGCCAGCTAAGAAGGCCTCTAGGATGGAGGAGAAGGATGCTTCCAGGCGCCAGAAGGCCTTAGCACATTGCCAAGGTACAAAAGGCCTCTAGGATCAGATCTCCAGAAAATGAAACTTCTCCAGCTTCTCATCATAGTGGGGTTGACCTTCAGGATCAGGAACCTGGACCTTCCTCCAGGACCATCGCCCAATCTTGGTCCCCTGATGCAGTTGGAGAGGAGGCCTTTCATCATCCCTCAGCTGAGGGAACTCATTATGGTGATCCTCAAGGAGGTTTCTGGGCTGTACCTTGGCAGGAGCAAGATTGCAGTAGGCCACTTTTACTCCTACTGCTGCTGGCCTCAGACCTGCTGAGCCTTCTGAGTCAGATGTCCTGGTTAATCTGCAGCTCTTGATTGATAGGGCTATCAAAAAAGGTATCTCTGAAGGCATTCAATGGTTTGCCTGGCATTCCTCAGTGGCATCTGAGGTTTCGGTGAGACTGTCCTGGGATCAGGAGGCTCTACTTTCAGAAAAGGGTTCCTTGATTCAGGAACATGTTTCTCCTTCTGCTTCGGCCTATGCTCCATCTGGTGCTGCTGAGCTTTCCTTGATAGGTGAATCAGACAAGAGGGAATCTGACATGTCTGAGGATGAGGGCCTTACCCCTGAAATTCCAGTGTTCATAGGCTGTTTCAAGCGTACATTATTCATCCCTTTGCTATTCAAAGCTAGAAACATGGCCAACCTGAAGAATATGGATGATGAGGATGCTGCTGCTCAGCCTTCCACGGAGTCGGATGTTCTCTTCAAGGAACTTACTGTGAGAAAGGAGGTGGTCCCATCTCCCAGGCTCTTTCCGAAGATCATTCAGAAGCAGCTGGAGTCACCTGCTACAGGGCCCAATCCTTTGTCTTTGGACTGCAGGTTTTTCAATGTCAGTCCAGAGCCTCCAAGTGCCCATGGTGGATGCACCTGTAGAAGCATTGGCCTCCACCTCTTCGGCTCCTTCTAATCCGGAAGATGTCCTCAAGGCCGAGGAAAAACGGATTGAACAGCCTCTCCAGAGATCACACCAGGCAGCTGCCTGGGTGGTCAAGGCATCTACAGCAGCCTTGTTCTTCACCACAACATCCCTTAAATGGTTGAAGCAGCTACAAGAGAGAATTCCTGCGGCAGACATGCGAACCCATCAGGATCTCAGTAAGATTGTAGCTGTGGCTGAATTCACAGCAATGCCACTCTTCACGGGGCCAGGTTTGCCACCAAAGCTGTCGCTTCTTCTGTTGCAGCCAGATGCATGTGTTGGTTGCGTAATTGGCAGGTGGACGGAAGGAGGAAGTGGAAGTTAGCATCTACCCTTGTGCGAGGGGACAAGATATTTGGAGAAGCTTTAGAACCATTCCTGGTTGAAACCAAAGATAAGAGGAAGGTGCTTCCATCACTTTACAAGAGGGCAGAGAACTGACCTGCCCCATACTTCAGGCGCCCTTCTTTCCAGGCAGAATCTGGATCTAGCTTCCATCATTCTGCCAAGGCCCCCTATCAATGTCCTGAGCCTCCTTCAGATCGTTCAGGCAAGGGCAGACAGCAGTTCTCGGGCAAACAGCCCTTTCGAGGAGGAGGAAGTCGCCCGTACCATCTCCAAAACTAATTGTGCTCAGTCTTTCCCCATTGGCAGATGTTTAGCTAGATTTGCTGACAAATGGGGAGAGATTACATCAGATGCCTGGGTGATAAGTACAGCAACACTGGATCTTTTGCTAGAGTTCTACTCCACTCCTCTGAGGTTTTCCATCTGCCCTATTTCTAGGGATACGGTGAGAAGGGGGCTCATGGAATCAGCTATCCAGCACTTGCTGGAGCTCAGAGCCACCCAAAAGGTCCCAGAAGACCAACAGGGGAAGGGTTTTTATTCCAGACTCTTTGTCATCTCTAAGGTCTCGGGAGTGGGGGTGGAGAGCAATTCTTCATTTGAAAAGGCTCAATAAATTCATAGTTTACAGGCGTTTCAAAATGCATTCTGAGAGCGTTAGGCAAGGGGACTTCCTCATTTCCATTGATTTGACGGAAGCTTATTTACATATTCCAATCTGTCACTCCCATAGAAGTTTCTTAAGGTTTTGTTATCAGGGGCAGCATTTTCAATATAGGGCTCTTCCCTTTGGGTTATCTTCCGCCCCTAGAGTTTTCACCAAAGTTTTGGCTACCCTGGCAGTGCAGAACTGGAATTTTTATAGGCTGGTTTGGATAGAGGCCTTTCTCCCAACACCCTTCAGCGTCAGGGGGCGGCTATTTCTTTGGTGTTGACTTGTGGCAAGTTGGAGTCCTTAGCACAGCATCCTACAGTCCATAGGTTCCTCAGAGGGGTGGCCAATCTCCGCCCTCTTGTAGTACACAGGTACTCTACATGGGATTTGTCTAAGGTGTTGCAGTCCCTGACTAAGGCTTTGTTTGAGCCTCTAAGATTGGCTAGTCTGCATCTTCTTAATCTGAAGGTAGCCTTCTTGGTGGCAATCACTTCACCCAGAAGAGTATCTGAGTTGGTCGCGCTCTCAGTTCGCCCAGATTCAGCATTTATCCCCAAAGTCAACACCTTGTTCCACAGGTCTCAAGAACTGGTTCTTCCAGATTTCTGTCCCAAACAGGACCATGACTTGGAAAAAGCTTGGTACACCCGAGATGTGCGCAGGGTACTGAAGATCTGTATCGAAAGGACATCTGAATTCCACAGAACAAGATCCTTTTTTGTTCCTTCCAACCTTCCACGTTGGGGAGAAAAGTGACCGCATCCACAGTCATCAGGTGGATCAAGTCATTTATATCCAGAGCATACTTGAGTCGTTCCCTCCCGGTACCCAGAGGCATTACGGCTCATTCCACTTGCAGTGCTGCGACAACTGCAGCCTGGGTTACGCAGGCTTCAATTGAAGAGGTCTGCAAGGCGGCCTCTTGGACATCCCTATCTCCTTTCATTTGCTACTACCGTCTGGACGCCTTTGCTTCAGTGGACGCTGCATTTGGCAGAAGGGTTTTGCAAAGAGTTGTCACGGAGCCTGGGAACCAGGAGCAAGGGAGAATGGGCGTTTTCTTACCTGAATGCCATTTCTCCTTGTAGGCAAGACAGGTCAGCCCCACCCTAATGGAACTGGTCCATACTGTGGGCCGATGGGAGGGGGGAGCTGATAACGGTCTCTTATTTGTTTTTTCAGAGGCAATCCTGTCTGTCATGATGGCTTCGCTGAAAGCTGGGAGGAGCCACCCAGAGTGGGTGGAGCTAGGCTAATCAGCCTTTTTAGACAGACTCAGTCCAAGCAGCTAGGACAAGAGCAACCCACTCCTGACCTGTCTTGCCTACAAGGAGAAATGGTGTTCAGGTAAGACAATGCCCAATTTCCACAAGCCAACTTTGGAAGCTACAGTAATTCTGTCCTGTATCAAAGAATATGGTATGAGTTCCATTAATAATTTAGAGTTTCCCAAAATGAGGCAACCTGGAAGTTGGAAGAATCAATTGATCAGTAATCTGGTCAATCTTGAATCTGCAGGAAGGTCATCCCATAATTGGGAAGCTGTGAATAGTAGCCCCTCTAAGTGAGCAGACTTGATCCATACTCAAATTGAACTTGGAAATTTGCTAATCAGTATGTTTTTATAAAACCAGAAGTATTATGAT